TTCATTACAAGACATGAATCTGTACCCTAACGAGTATAAGACTAATGGAAGTAATTATGATGTCAATAAGCTGTAGCTGAAAAGTGCTTTCTCCTTCTTTCCACACATTTAGGATCTTAATATTTGAACTTTGAACAGCATTTGAAGTTATTGATGAAGTTCAGCTCTGCTCCCTTTTGATGTGAAACAGATACAATGTTGAGAATCCCCAAGGTGACTCCTTATGGTAAGTGATATGTCTACTGCGTTTCTTTCCCTGGCATTAACAGTTCCCTGATACTATTTGAGTTAATGTTTCAGCGGTTGTTGTAGTTATTGTTTTCTGCCTTATCTCCCTGAATTTAGTAAAATCTCTGCACTCCTCCTGGTACTGAATATGATAAATCACATTACAGTCAAGCTATCTGGAAACTACACCTCTGGCATTTAAGATAATAAATTCCACAGCAAAGCCCTTTCCTCATCTCCCACTCATCTTTTTGCCTTTCTCAGTTTATGACAAGTTGGAAATAATATTGCTTTGGTGTTGCAATTGCAGAGGATACAGAAATTCAAACTGTATGGTAGTTGATAAAAATAAATTTAATCAGGAAAATGAGAAAATATCTTCATATAATGAACTTTTAGATAGCTTTGGAAAGGTAATCTGTGTGTTTAGCTGGGAGATGAATATCTAGATTACTGTACTAGACCAGCAGAAGAAAATTTATTTTTTTCTTTTTGGATTTTTGAATTACATGTGGAATTTCAAAACTCTTGTCCTGCAAAGGCTTCTCATACATTTTAGTATCTGATGATCCTGTGTGGTTTATTCTCTGCTTCCAAGAACATTAGTACTTTTTAGATAGATGAACAAACAAACTGAGTTATAAAGCATGTATAAGGTCATATTTTATTACTAGAGAAACCTGGACTAAATTTTTGAACCATTGCTCAAACCAGTTTAATTTCATTTTCACTGCATTGTATATGCCAGAAAAATTTCTGTACTGTATATGAAGAGTTATTTTGCATGACTCCCTGATTTTTGCATTTTTCTTATCCTATATTTTAGTTGGCTGTTTTCCCTTTTTTTTTTTTTCCTACTCAATCTAATCTTTTGGCATCATGTTTCTCGTCTCCAGAGAAACATGTGTATATGTGAATTGTACAGCTTATCACATTTGGGGTATGTTCACATGGTAAATTCAAACCACTGAAACTCATTGAGCATGTCACTGTGAAGTGCTGTAAAAGCGGAAAGGCATAAAGAGATTATTCCTGGCAGCAGTAAGCCAAGTGGTCCTTTACAGATGTGTTCTTTGTAGATGTTATGTAATAAATGTTAAGAGGCTATCTGTGTATGGTAAATGGGTGATAAATTAAATGCAGTAAATTAAAATGAGGTATTAACGTCCTTTAAATAAAGAGGAAACCTGTTTTATAGCCAGTCAGCTTGCTATAGATTGAATAACATTAAGGCATCAATTCTCTTTTTCCTGAGCATACAGCATTTCCTTTGCTATCTTTTCTAGAATTTGGCTCTTCTGAAAAAGTAGCCTGATTGTAGGCTTTTCTTTATTCTTTCCCAAAATTAAGCTTTCTTGCTTTATACTGTCAAAGAAAACAGAGTTCAGTCTTTTTCCAACTTTTTTCTATCAGTGCTTGAGGAGAGATACATGTTCTCACAAGCACCAGTCAAACTAGAAAGAGAAGAGTTTGCCAGTAGCTCAATGGATCAGTCAATATTGTACACTTTTTCAAATTTATGGTATGTTGAAGTATTAATAAGTAATAATAATAATAATAATAATAATAATATCATTATTATCTGTAACAACAATACCACTAGTATTACTATTACATAAATGTCCAAACAAATCAACATGATGAGCCTTTCTGACACCAAATATTTGCTTTATTCATTATCTGTTCCTGCCTTTCCAGTAAACATTCAACCACTATTTATAAGATCTACTTTTATGCTTCTCAGCTGCATTTGTAAATAATAATAATAATAATAATAATAATAATAAATTATAAAATACTTTACCACTGATTAGCTAGGTAAAACTCATCATTTTCTCTTTCCTGAATCTGAGTCTGCTACTTTTTAAACTGCTACCATTGTCTTTTAAATCACTGAAGACTAGAAAACTTTTGAATGTTCTATATTCTTTTGAGATGTATCTATCTATAGCTACACACACACACACACACACATATATATATATATATATATATATATCTCCCTTCCCTGACCCCAGGTTTTATTCTGATTGTGTGTGCTAATTTCTCAAAATTCTTTTCCCTCCTTGTTTGGTGAGGTTCTTTGTGTCTACTTCTTTTTTTATACTGAGACTTTATTTATATGAAGGTTCAGTCAAAACTATGTAAGCATCCTGGATGATAGAAATACACAAGATTCTAGAAGGATTTGACTACTTATTTTTTCTCATCTTGCAAAGGTAACTAAAAATAGTTCCTGTAGTTTCTCACTACCCTTCCCCAAAAGAAATTCTCTACCTCCAGTTCTGGCTGTTCCAGCTCCTGTTCTGACTTCCAGATTATTCCTCCCATCTCCAGTTTCTCCCCACTCTTATCCATTATCCTAGGCACCCAAGTGATTTCAGAATACAGATCTGATCATGTTACTACTCTGCTCAAGCCCGCATTGCCTTCAGTCTCCTCAGCATGGGTGCTCAAGGTCCTTCACCATTTGACGGCAGCCCACCCATCAGCCTCTTTCTTGTCACTCTTGTCTGTTAGGTTGGGAACATGTTGTGTCTACTGTTCTTTGGGGAGGTCTGTTTGGGAACCTTTTGAGATAAAGAGGAACCAGTAAGACTACGGTTTTGATTCTTAAATTAATAAAGTGCCCCTCTCCTTCTTCCATCAGTTCCCATTAAAAAATTAAAGAATGTGTCAAATTTTAGGACATCTCCAGCACCATAAACTTGATTGTGGCAGAATTATCTAGATCAACTGTTTAAAATACCATAAACATACATAAAAACAATTATTTCCATCTTAAATTTGGGTTCCATGTGTTTTTTTTAATTGCATTTTAAAATTCAAAGAAAATAACCTGTGTTTGATGCTGTTATTCAGGAACACACATGCATGTGCACGCACGCATGCACACCATTTATCAATGCTTTGTTCCCTCAGTTACCTCCAGAGTTATTCAACTGTGACTACATTAGATAATTAACTTGAAAATACCTCATTTGGCATAATTTTTTAAGTATAATATTATTCAGAGAGAGAAATTTTTTCTGTAGAGTTTTGCTTTAATAATACTAGATTTTTGGATAAATGTTGACTTAAAAAGCCATGAATAGTATTACATTGGATATCTCTGTTTCTTCAGTGTCTAGGACAGTGTCACATAGGAAGAGGTGTTCAGTTGACATTTCTGAAAGGCAGATAATTCACTATAATGCAGCCAGAGGTAAACTAACATGTTAACTTTCAATCAACTGATCGTTTACTGTGTGTAAGGCATAAGAAGGGTAGAAAAAACAATGCTGCCAGCCAGATACCAAGGTCCATACTGTCTAGGGAAGAATAAACTTATACATGTAAAGAGAATAAATGACAAGTGCCCATGAGAGTGACAGAGTTATCCACTCATGAATAGTATAATAATAGTAAAAATAATGATGATTCCTACTTATTGAGTGTCTACTATGTGCTGGGATCTGTGGTAAGCTCTTCTGGCACTATAGCTTTGCATCTTCATAGAAACTCTAAGGCTTGAACTACTATTACCCCCATGTTGCAGACTGAGAAGGATAAGAAGTTATGTATACACTGGCCTTTATCCAGCTGGTAAGGGGTAGAGCTGGAACTGTTTTTTTTTTTCCTGAGTTTATAACTTCATAATACTGTAAAGGGAGAGTTTGCTTCTATCAGTGGCATCACTAATATGGTGGAATTGAATAATGACCAGAATCAAATATATTCACTATAAAATAAAATATAAAAAAATATAATTTTTATATACCAGAGCACAATTAAGACAACTTCTGAGTGTTATCAGCTCATAGGAAGAAGGTGTTTTCCCCAGGGATTAGAGTTCACCTTTGGGTAGATCTGGCACTCAGCCAAACTTATTTCTACAGTGTTTTGAAGTCTTGATGTTTTAAGCTATATATAGCATGAACATTGATAAATCGAGTGTGGCATATGCTTGAGATTTCAAGTTTTAAAAGTACATCCTAGATAATTTAGCAGGATTAAAAAAAATAAAGCATTGCTCCTTTATATTACAGAAATTGCCACGGTATGTTTCAAACCACAATTCCAAAACAGCATGAGCATACACGATCATGTGACTAGCTGAGTGCATAGCACACATGGCACAGGGTGCACACGTGAAGATCTACTTTGATAACTGAAATATGTTTTGAGTAAACAGCAAACAGTATATCTTAAGTTGTCATTACTGTGGTATTCAAATGAAAGGAAATTCATGAATGGTTATGCAAATTTCAAGAAACACATTCAAAATGCAGTTTGAAAGCAGTGTGCAAAACATGAAAAGATTTCTATTTCTTGTTTTCTGAGCTGAGTTAATCTACTTGTATTTCAGAAATCTAATATTTAAGGGGGAAGAAACTGGTAATTTAGTTGTCATTGGCACAGATATGATGACAGGAAATTCCTATAAATATTTTTAGTCAATTAGGGTTGGCCAGGAAGTTTGAAAATTTACGATACAAACAGAACAATTCATGGGGAAAACGACAAAGAAAATGGATTTTCAAACCATGAGACAGAACATAAATTAAAGGGATAGAACAAAGGAAGATGAGATTCATTCACTCGTTATTCATCCAATAGATCTTTATCAAGCACTTTACTATGCAAGAGACAGCAATGGACAGTAGCCTCTGCACTCATGGCACTTTCTAGTGAGGGGTACAGAAATTTTAAGACAATAGTCCAATTCATTATTTAATGACAATTATGATAAATGCTTTAAGGAGACATTAGAGAGAACTATGGGTGTAATAGAGAGCTTGATTGAGTGGGTGCAAGAGAATGGGGTCAAGGCAGACGCATCAAAGATAGATTCATTAATGAAGCTACATTTCGACCGAGGTCTGAATCATCAGGGCAGTGAACTAGCGAACGAGGCGGGAAGGCGGGTACTTCTGCGGTGTGCAGTACAAGGGCGTGCAGAGCTGTGGTGGGCGTGGCGTGGTGGGGTGATGATGGTTAACAGACCCTCTAACACTT